TATTTTGTGCAGGCAAAAGAAAAAAAAATGTTCCAGGTAAACTCCTTTAGTTTTCTCAGTTTATTTTTTTTTTCTTCAGGCAAGCAAACAAAAAAAGACAAACATTTCCTCCATGTTTCTCTGGTTAAAAAAACAAAAACAAAACATAAACCCATCCAGATGCATGCTGGTCCTAAATTAATCATACCTAACCAAAAACAAAGGAACATGATTAAATAACCAAAAAACATAATCTCATAACAGATATCAAACAATAAAGTTAAATAAACTTCGCCAGATTATGCACAAAAACAAAAAACATTTTTAACTATTAATAAAAAATAATTGGCTCCTACATGGGATTTTATATCCCACAGCCCTCGCACCTGAGCTATGGATCTCTGCAGCTCTCCCAGAGTAGCCATTAGTCTTATGAATCTTCCTCATATTGATGTCCTTCTTGCCTGACCTATCGGTTTAGTTAACTTGTTGCTTTATAACCTAACACTGGTTTAAGCTTCTCCATAATTTGGCTTTGAAACAATGGTGGCACACAGGTGGATAATATGTAGAAATCAGGTTTTGTAATAAACTCAGAAGGTAGAACCTAATATTCAAGGCAAGTCAGGTAGTGGGAAGATTCAAAGCATTTATTGAAATCAGAACGAAGCTGTGGTTCTGCTCCCCACAGCCGCTGCACAAGGGGAAACTCTGGTTAAAGAGAGTTCATCTCCTTAGAGTGAGGTAGGATCCAGCTGATGAAATGCCGACAAGATGTGGCAGGAGCCGTGACCGTGAATGAGCATGAATCCGAGCCGGGTCAGGGAAACAGTTCAGAAACGGAAGGCTCAGAGATCCAGGAGTTCATGGCCTGGGTAGGGGTTCCAATCATAACAGGAACAGGCTGGTCCAGGATTCCAACAGAGTCCAACAGAGATCAGGCAGAACGTTCAGATAGGAACAGCCAAGCTCAGTAGTTGAGAGGCAGAACAAGGCAGGATATCAGGAAAACTACGGTACGTTAAAACTCGCTCCACTGTTATTTTCTTGTTCTCCGCTGAGCCAAGAACAAGAACAGGGCACACTCAGTGGTTCTGAGGCAGGACATGATCAGGAACACTATGACAACACTAAAAAAAAAAAAAACCCTCTCTCACCACTGGCCTCTAAGAACAGGCACATGAACAAAAACATGAGTTATCACCTCAAAGTCAAACTTAAAACAATGATGTGGCCCCGATAGCTGGGACTGAGCCCTATATAAAGCAGCAGGAGCAGATGATCTTCTCAGTTTGCATTCAAGGTACCAGCGTAAAAGGAGGTGAATAAAAATGTGGGTTAAAGTTTAATTATTTGTATTTGCTAAAACCTCTTCACGATGATACACTACTATGTTTTGGTTTATCTGTTTATATATAACAGGTAAAGCATAGTGTAACCTGTAATCTCATTGAAAAATGACAAATTCTCTTTGAGCTTGTGTCTCTCTATCAGTTTCAGCATATGAGCTGATGCAGCCCTTCCTCCCATCAAAAACAGGATACACTTGACTGTTAAATTGCCACTGTTGTCTGACGATTGCCTTAATGGATAACCTCATCGATTCCTTTCCATTCAATTACTCCACCCAGAGGTGAAAGATAACTTAGTTAGGAGAACTTCCACTCTCTAGGAGGTCATTTTGAATTAGAGTATGATATCTCCGGTGCCAATAAACAATCAGGCAGATTAAGGTTTGCTGGGTTCTTTTCCCACCCCATTTGATTCTTCAGGTGATAGTATAAGAACACAATGGCAGCCAAAAGTCAAGCGTAATAGCTTTGACAGTGGCAGAGACAAACATTCAGTTCAATAGATGTGAGAAGTGTTGCCTTTCTGGGCAGGAATTTATCTAATGCCCTTGAGATAAGCTGCTGAGATAGAAAAGGAATTCTTCTCTGTTTGAGGGTCACCAGCTGCAAAGAAAACAATGCTTGTATTTTATTTCAAAGTCCTTGCAGAAGTAAAATATGAAAATGTTATTATTCTCCTCTTTGTGAAACTTTATGAATTCCAAATAAGAGAGAGTTATGATGAAAAACTGGAACATTCACTGCTATGAATGATTTTTTTTGTATGCATTTCAGAAACAGACCCTTTTTTAATGGGTTTATAATGGAAAGGTTTTGTAAAAGAGATTTAATACATGAAATTCTGGCACCGAATACTTGTGATGGCTTTGGTGCACAATGAAGATGTAAATATGGAAAACCACTTGATGTCCATTATTGGTGGAGGACATGTGACAATTTGGGCTGTTTTGTTTTCAGAAGATTTGAACCAAGACATTTAAAAAGAATTCTCAGGGTCTCTGGTGGTTTTTTAATACATCTTTACCCGGTTACTCAACTAGAGAGGAGGGGATGATGTGCACATCCAAAAATCTGGATATATCGTGTCTTCATAAAATCTAATTTTCTAGCTATTTTTCAACAGTAATTGAGAAAATAACCCAGCCTCTGTTCTCTTAACACATGGCTGCCCCGGGGATGCAAGGGATTTTAATTTTGATTTGTGTTTCTCTTTATTTTTAGAGAATTACAGACAAATTTGGTGGAATAAAGGATAGAGGGCTACGTTTTAATAGGCAGAACTTGAAGGCTATCAATGATAATTATTTGCTTGTGTTGTAGTTGTGAACAAATCATGGTTAAACAGAAAGATTTTTATTTTCGTAGGATCAGATAGTTATTTTGTCCTAAGCTCCAGTGAACCTGAGTTCAAATCCCAACCTGGGTAGTCTGCATTTTCTCCCTGTGGAACCCCGGTTTTATCCAGATTTATTTTTTTTTGGCTTCCTCCCTCACCCTAAAAACTGTTAGTTGATTTTCTAATTTGTTCTCTCTTTGGTATGCATGGTTTTGGTGTCTCTGTATTACCCTGTGATGGACTGGTGATCCGTCCGGGGTGTACCCTGGTGGCCTACACTGGAAAAAAAGAGAAATCTAGATAAGTCATTTTTTTCTTAAAATAAGTGCATTTGTTTTTGGATTAAGGAGGTAAAAGAGAAATTTTGCCAATGGAACAAGACAATATACACATAAAATAAGAAAACACAATTGCATTGTCTTATTTGAAGTGGATATTATCTAATTATCTTATTTTAGGAGTAAAAATGCTCATTCCATTGGCAAATCACCTAATTTACCTACTCAAATTAAGGGTAAATACACTTAATTTAATACATTTTTACTTATTTCTAGATTATTTTTCCAGTGTAGTGGTTGGGGCATAGAGCTTGGAATCCTGAGGTTCTGAGTTTGAGCCCCACTCCCAAAGACTGGGACTCTGGGTCTCTGAGCAAGACTCGTAACCCCCGATTGCTCCCTGGGTGCCCCGCGAGCCTGTTGCCCTCCAAGGGGATGGGTTAGATGCAGAGGTAAATTTCTTCAATGTGAGATCATTAAAGTTCAATTATTATTATTTTCATTGCCCTGCCTCTGCAATGACTGCTAAATATAGAACATCCCCAGATTTGGTAAAGATAAGGAATTATAGACAATGGATGAGTGGGTAGAACAATAAAAAAATGTATATTGATGGCTTGTGTGAAAATCACAGTATTTATGGGAGGAGCTGATGGTTTATTAGGGCTCTATATGCAACTTATTTGTTTGCTTTCCCTTGGTATGGTTCTGTTTAAATATATTTCAAGTTTTATCATTATCTCCCTTTTATCTCCTCTTTCTTTCATCTTTTCTCCTTTTTTTCTGTTTTTTCCTTTCCTGTTCTACTTACATTGCAGTGTCCACATAATCTCTAATACTGTCTGCATGAATTAGAATAAAGCTATTTATATGCATAAATCAAGCAGAACACAAGGGTGAATTCTGACTTTTTTTCTCAGAACTCTGACTTTTTTCTCAGAATTCACACTTTTTTCTCAGAATTCTGACTTTAATCTCAGAATTCTGACTGAATTCTGACAGCTAACAAACATGTTAGCATCAAGCCCTTTTAGAGACCAAACTAGCTCTCTTGTTTTAATCACCTGCTCCTCCATTAATGAAATAGCATCACTGGGGACTCCTCTGGCACGTAAAAAGTCAACTAATTCTGTCATTTTCCACCAAAGTGTTACTGGCCCTCCAAAACAACTTACACCTTTGTCAGTGAAGCTGAGTGCTCCTAACCTGACAACAGCCAGATGCATGTCTCGCTCCGCCTAGCTCCACTCACATACGTGAGTGGAGCTAGGCGGAGTGAGACATGCATCTGGCTGTTGTCAGGTTAGAGTGCTCCCACATCTCTTTCTTCATGGTGCCCATCTACATTAAGATCCAAAATTCTGAGATTTAACACAGTATTTTGAGATTAAAGTCAGAATTATGAGATTTAAGTCAGAATTATGAGAAAAAAGTCAGAATTCTGAGAAAAAAAGTCAGAATTCTGAGAAAAAAAGTCAGAATTCTGGGATTTAAGTCAGAATTATGAGAAAAAAGTCAGAGTTCTGAGATCAAAAGTCAGAAATCTGAGATTTAAGTCAGAATTCTGAGACAAAAGTCAGAATTTTGAGAAAAAAGTCAGAATTCTGAGATTTAAGTCAGAATTCTAAGATTTAAGTCTGAATTCTGAGAAAAAAAGTCAGAATTCTGAGAATAAAAAGTCAGAATTCTGAGATTTAAGTTAGAATTTTGAGAAAAAAGTCAGAAATCTGAGATTAAAGTAAGAATTGTGAGAAAAAAGGCAGAATTCTGACTTTTTTTCTGTAGGCAAAATTCTGACTTTTTTCCCATATTAAACTGAAATAATATTTAAAATCAGTTCATTTTTTTCCAGTGGCCCTAATCCTCTCCTGTACAATAGAAACCCCCTGATGAAACCCCAGAGTGTTCAGCCTGACCCTCTCTCTCTCACACAGAAAGATAAACTCCTCCTTTTTTGATTCCCTCAGACAGTTCAGCCTGTTTGTCTTTAGTAACATCCATGCTCTCTTCGGCTTTTGTCTGGGCCAAGAAAGATAAGGACATAATAATAAAAGAGTTAATGGACTGTTTAGGCTTGTTTCTGAGTATTTAAATGAGCAGTTAAAGCAGGGAACCGACGCTGCTGGAGGTTTTTCAGCCATTGTTTTGCTGGACTTTCTTCTTTCTCTTCGATAATAAGGATAAACCCAACGATGTGCACAGAAAAGGTAAAATTACTTTCGGAAATTTAGGAAACTCTTTGGAAAGTATTATGGAAAAATAACAAAGTATTAAAGAAATATTGACGTTAGCTTTTTTTTTTAATGTATTTTAGCAAGGAAAGATTTCACACGTTTGATATGATATTCGTTGGTTTTCTAACGTCTGCTAGCAAACTTAAAAAGTGTTATTTCGAAAAAATGTTTAGCAAAAAATGAGAATTTAGCACATATAAGTACATATGCCAACTTTGTTAACTTTTCTTTATATTGTGCTGTTTTCATATTTTAAATAAAACTAATACGCTATCTGAAATTTCTAGCCAGTCTAATTTTCTTTTATGTTAGCAAGCTGTTAGCATCTAAGCTCCAGATTATTATTTTTAACTGCTTGGCAACTGTAGGAGATTTTCCGGCTTGAAGATTTGCTACAAGTGCAAAGTAGAAAAACAAAGGTGGTGTTTAAATAATAATTATAAAAAAAATCATATTTAATTTAATCTCATGGCTGATTACTTTAAGGACTTGTTCTATTATAATTACAGTGGGCAATTAATGATATATTAGTGATTCCACAAAGTGGTTTGTGAATGAAATTAAGTTTGCTCTTGATCTGAAGAAAGATTTCAATGTTTTTAAGGACTCTCTACCTTTGATCAATTTTATTTCCAGATATTAAGGTAAAAAATCCATCCATCCATCCATCCATCCATCCATCCATCCATCCATGCATCCATCCATCCATCCATCCATCATATATCATAATCATACATCATATCATTTATATAGCGCCAATTCACAACACATGTCATCTCAAGGCATTTTAAAGAGACAATCCAGCCAGATTTTTCCAATTCAGAGTTCTTTAAAGTGTGCAATAATTATTTTCTCCTTGTTCAAAGCATTGTGTATTGACTTATGTTATCGTACTTAAACCACCTCTTTGTAGATTCATTGATTAATTAAGTTGTTAGATTAATCAAATGTTAAAATAATCCTAAAACTGACTGAATTATTGAACTGAATTATTCTGAACTGGTCAAAAATAAAAAATGTTATTGATGATTTATGTATTATTTCTGAACTGAAAAATAAAAGCAAAGGGGAGATTCTTTTTTTAGTTGCTTTTTTATTTATTTGTTAAGACCTCTTGTATGGGGTGTGGACAGGGAAATTGGGTGTCTTAGATAGATTAAATTACGATTGCTTTCCTGAAAGCTAATTAGTTCCTTTTAAAACAATTGTTGCTCTAAATCTAAAAAGGCATGATTTGAATCCTTTTTGATCACCTTACGTAGAGTCAAGACTGAGAGCAGCAGGACTTGGACGTTTGCTGAGATATTCTAGACTAGGGCTGGGCAATTAATTTCATTTGCAATATAATCACAATTTAACAGGACACAATTTTCAAATCACAGAGGCATTGATTTTTTTAATCACACTGTATTTCACATGTAAGACACTAAATTTCTCCCTCCAGCCCATAAGGTGGTGATTAAACGCTTGCCATACAGAAAGGTAGACAAGTAAACACTTTTTCACACAGTGGTTACACTAAAGTTCTGTAAAAATGGGCTCTGGACAAGCAAGCTTTCAAAAACTGAAAGCCTGGTGTGAAACATCTATATCATTGGAGTTAGTGCAAAGTAAAAAAATCCAAATAAAATCGCAGTTGCAATTTTGGTTACAAATAATCGCAATTTAGATATTTGGCAAAAATTGTTCAGCACTGCTATTCTACATGGGTCAAACCCATACAAAAANGTAAAAAAATCCAAATAAAATCGCAGTTGCAATTTTGGTTACAAATAATCGCAATTTAGATATTTGGCAAAAATTGTTCAGCACTGCTATTCTACATGGGTCAAACCCATACAAAAATACAGCTGATTATATGCAAAACATTTCCTGAATTTTTTAGAGCATGATATAAAACTGTGCAATATGATAATTGACCTAAGGAAAGTTTTGGGGTAGTAAGGTCACCCTAATGTAGATCAAGCATAATAAAAGAAGTATGTCAACCAGTTATAGTTGAAGGACGCTTGGCAATGACAAGTAACACTTGTTAAAAAGTCTAATAAATATAGCTCAGAACATGCAAAGGCTCTGCTTGTAAATACAGCAACTGGAAAAGATTTAATCCTTTAAAAATCTCCTAAAAACAGCAAAGATCCTGTGCCTTATTTGAAACTGACGGGACTTAAATTAGCATTGACGTGCATGTTCGTGTTGTACTATACCATGTAGTATTAGCATACACAACTTGTTTCTGCAACAGAATCTTCAGGCAGGTTTGAAAGACACTGGAAAAAATAGGCATCAAATTACGGTACAGACATACTACTAACAAACTATAAATTATTGTAACATCATAGATCATAGTCATACAGCAATCTATACATCATATGCTTAAACACAAAAAAAACTTTAATGGTTACAACAAATGATATAAATACATTTTTTTAGCCATTCAAAGTTTCTGGAGTGTCAGTGATAAATTAAAAAAATAATCAACAGATTTGTCGATTTGCAAAATAATCGTTAGCTGCAGCCAAAATTTAAAAAAAAATTTTAACCTTAAGGATAACATGTTCTTTTTACAGGGAGTTTGAGTTCTTTCTTTTGCTTTCTGCAGGCAGATGGGGCGTAAATTGAAAACTGGAGAGGATATCAAGTTGGAGTGGAGATAATTCAAAGAAATTACCCAAAAAGGTAAAAAGAGTTGTTTTTAAGGTTGTTTTTTTTTTTGAATTTGAAGATAAGAAAGGTTTTTGGAAATCTATTTATTTTTTTTATTTTTTTTTTTTACTTCAAGACAAGAGTTGCTGTAAACTAAGAAGGAGTCTTTACTCCAGTTTTGTACATTGGCCATATTTAATAGTCTGAGAACTTCTCGTTGAAGTAACATTTTGTTCTAACAAAAACTGGTTAGTTCTCAGCTGTGTGGGAGCATAATTGCTGGTCTTTGCAGCGGGGTGGGGTGGTATCACATTTTAAAAGCTGTTAAGCGTTCCTCAAATTATACCCCAGTATACAGATTTCCTATAAAGGTTTGTGATGCTTGCTTATTGCTGCATAAACTGTTTTAATGGCTTATAATGTATTCTAAGCTCCTTTCCCAAAGAGAAAATATCTAGCCTTGGAACGCAACAGTTATTTGAAAAAAGTGATTAAAAAGATCCTGACTTTTAATAAAACCGCAAAGCGCTTTTTTTTTTTTTATAGAAACTGATCTTAGGCTTATTTATTTTATCTGGTATCTATGTAGCTTATTTGAAGGGAAGAAGGTCTTATTTAATTTTGAATGGCATCAGTTATTTAAATATNTAAGAGTTAATAAAATATATTGAAAACTTTAGAGGAACTAAAATAAGTATAAACATAACATCAAATGATTTTTTTCTCCCTCAATGTTCAGTAGGCTGTAAAAAGCAGATGTGTCTTTTTTTTCATGTGTGCCGATATATGGGTTTGAGTAGGTAATGACAAAGGTAAACTCGGCTGTTTAGGGTATAATCTTGCTGTACAATCTGCATGTGGCTCATTCTTTGTTGAGGGGTTTTAAGGGAAATCAAGGAGCAATCTGATGGATATTTCATGTTAACTTCTCCCCAATATGTTCTACATATTTGTTTTTGTTTAATTATTTAGCTGATATTGCTTATTCTGTCATTTATCTTATAAAAATGACAATATATGTTCAGACTTCCATGAAAGTCAATCCGTCCGTCTGTCCATCCATCCATTCGTCGGTCCATCCATCCATCCATCCATCCATCCATCCATCCATCCATCCATCCATCCATCCATCCATCCATCCATCCATCCATCCATCTTTACTAGAACATTGGAGAATTATTTATCTTATTTGTCATGTTTGCTCAGAGGAATCTAAGTAAGGGAGAATTCCCACCAGTAGACTCCTTGAAACAGCAGTGTCAGCTTTTTAAGTTGCTTTTTTGGTAAATAGTTAGTGAGTGTTTTATTCTCAAATAGCCTTTGGGTGGAGCATCACGTTTAGAGCTTTGAAAGCAACCTCAAACCTTCATGTTCACAGCTTGAAGCCCACTTAGATTGGCTTGTATAGAGCTGACTCTTTTATTGGCTCTGTAGGAAACAGGAGGCTCTCAGTCTCAGGAGACATCTGGAGATGGTGTGCTGCACCACTCCCAAGATTTCAATTTGGGATATTTAGACCTTTTTCAATCGTTTCAGCAGGTTTGGTGTACAGGACCTTCTAGAAATGTTAATACCACTTGGATTTTTTATACTTTTTCACATTACAGCAGCAGACATCTATATGGATTGATTTGACACATATGTTAATGAAAGATGTGACATTATTTCTTTCTTCTTACCAGTGTTTGTCACATACCTTGTGTCTATCATCTTTGCATTGCTGCCAACAAATACCCCCATATTCTTCTTTTTAAAACTCTTAACCTCACTTGGATGATCACTTAGCTTTTGATATCAATGTTTAATTTTGCCACAGAGTCTTAACTGGATTTAGATCCAGAACATTGCTGGGTAATTCCAACACTTTAATACTTTATTTAAGCCATCTCTTCCTCACCTCATCGTTTAGAATTTTCAACCTCTTGATGCAGACCCATGAATCATTAAGGGGTCCTGGGGATTATTTGCTGGTTTTAGTGGCCTTCAGGTCAACCTCCAGAGCATCTACACAGATCCCCTTCTTTGTAGCTGACCTCTAGAGCTTCCATGTTTACCTGAAGCCTGACAGTCCCCCTCGAGACAACGTACTTTGTGGGTTTCTTGGCTAAACCCTGAAGACCTTTCTTGCAGGTTCCCCTGGCTAGTAAGTCTGTCTCCTGAATGTTTTTACTCTGTTTCTTTTTGTATTATTTTATAACGTAATTGCTTTAAATATCTCTTCCTGAACAGGTCCATCTAATTCCTACAAATTCATGATGCTGTTTGTTAATTAATGTTTAATAACGTACCAACGGAGTTTAAACAGAACAGCTGGATTTATACTGATTGGACAATGTTAAAATATTGCCTTTCACTAACTAGGATTCACCAAATGGCTAAAATGTGGAAGAGAGCATCTTTTATGCTAGCTAAAGAGAAGAATACATTTAAAGTACAATCAAACATCTTCATAGGTAAATAATAACATGAGTCAATGATTTTGGTTTCTGTGTAGAAGAGAATCAGGTTTCTGCTAAGAAAAATTATTTGATATATATGTCCTGCTACAAACTTTGCATGTTTGTCATCTCAAAATTTGTTCATGTTGATGAACCATGAGGATTTTGTCAGGTTAACTCAATCCCCCCATTCCTTAGCTTTCATTTTTGATTACGAAAAGGTTTCTAAATCTTATTAAAGGCACTAATAGGCTGCTGATGTATGGCAGTGAAAGATGTTGTTTGTTGTCAAATATATCTTAAATGTAAGATTTGCTGAATGAATGGGATTTTTTCTAACCTAATCTGTAAAAGCCTTTCATCTGCACAAACAAGAGGATCCTTTTTCTCTTATAGATTGCTGTTTGTCTTTCTGTTAAGCACTCTGCAGTCTACCAGGTTAGTAAAGCCTGCCATTGCATGAAAGGTTATCAGATATGACGTCTGCACTTATAAAGGATGGATTTTATGAAATGTCCTGTTGCAGACAGAACTTCATTCTTCATGAAACTACCAAAACCTGAGAAGTTGTCTGTGAAAGTTTGGGTCAACACAGTCTGGGCTTATTTTCTATTAGAATATCTGATAGTGGGTTCTTTTGTAATTTTGGGCTTTCTTAGCGGGCTTTTACAACGAACACGATGCCCGCAGGAAGGGCGGTGAATCTACATAGTATCGCTATGCTAACCGCGTGGCCGAGAGTAGTGAAGCAGCCTGTAGATTGATGGTCTTCCCAAGCACTGAAGTGTTGTCAAACAGCATGTGGAGAGAATGGAGTGGTGACCATTAAAGTTAAAATCTGAACTTTTCTTTCAGAATGGAATATGGAGAAAATAATGTAAACAAAGGATAAAATAAGAAATGTTCCTAAGAGGTTTTTTGGTTGTTTTTAAAAAGCTGTTATAATTTAGCCCTGGAAGGACTGTTCGTCATCCTCTAGCCCAGACACCGGACAGTTGCTGCCTCTCCCCAGCACTTTTGGTCTCTGCCTGGTTAGATACAAGGAAATAAACCTGTTGGTGCAGATTTATGCAGTTGAAGCTAAGTTTTTTTGCTTTGGTGTTTAAGATACAATATATTTTCCATTCGGCCAATGATGTCACCATCCAAACAGAATGCTCTGTGACAATACAAAGTGGTCTACTTCTTCAGTGCGACTGGGGCTTTTCCAAAAACGGATCCCCCAAGCCCAGTCAAACATTGTGCAGAGAGAACAATTTGGCCGCAGTCTGTAAAGTTATCTTTCGCCTGTGCTTTTATTGTAAAGTGCCGATTACAAGATTTTGAAAGGAAATGCTATGGTGCCGCCAAAGGTAACGGTAGAACATAATTCAAATTTGCTGGTGAGGAATCTCAGCCATCCAGGTTGTACTCATCCAAAAAAAGTGTTGTTTCCAAGTTTAAAGGGGTTTCTTTTCCCATCCAGGAAGCTTTTTTAATTAAAAAATGAATTGACTTTTAAACTGAAAAAGCTTCCTGGATGGGAAGCAAAATATCTTCAAACTTGGAAACAAAGTCTAGTGGATTGTTTTTTAACTTTTTTGGAAATCATAATTGAAGGATCTTAAAGGCTGATAAACTACAAAATATCGTGAAGCAATGATTTCACCCACTAAATAATGAAAACATGCCCAATGTTAAATAAAGTGCAACCTCCAGTGCAATGCCAGCACAGGAGTTTGTACAATAGCTTTATATTTGGAAACAAGTGCAGCACTAACGTCTGGTCTGATGGTGACGTCATCAGCCGAACTTTAAGATGATTCTATCTTAACGCCTGTGTAAATTCTCAGTCATCCAGGTCATGGCAAACACAAAACAGGCTTAAATCGGACGGCAAATGAAGTTTTGCTCAGCTTTGTGTTGACATCTATCAGGGAGTCTTTGTCAGTTCTGTCGGCTCGCACCAGAGCAGTCTGCAATCTGTTGAAGCACTGATGACTTTAAGCAGCATGGAGGTCCATCTTCAAAACCAAAGCAGCAAAAATGCCAGTTTTAACAGGAACAAACCTGCACTAATGAGGCTCTAACCATTCAGTCTATTTTCTGAGTTTTTTTCACGTGAACGGGGTGTCACCTTCACGTAGCTCAAACTCCTGCTATTTGATGATGCGTTGAGCACGGTTAAGCTGCTGTGACACCAGGTTCAGGCTGAATGCATTCTTAGTTTTTAGGCTGATGCTCTCATTGCAATCTATGTAAAGTTCTGCAGAATTAAGGGTCAGCCTCATTTAGAGTGTTTCTACATTTTTGTTTCCATGTCAACTTGGCTGCAAAACTATAAATATAGCCCTTAAAGAGAACACTGTTATATTGATAACTCTCAACAGAGTTAGAAATATAATTTTCAGAATCACATTTTCTAGTCAAAATTACAAAACAGTTATAGTAGTGTTGTTTGTTCAGTTTACTGACATGATTTGGACCTAGTATTATTAATTACCTTCTTAAACATATTGTATCAATGTCCCCATTCATTGGGAAACATTTTTTCATTTCTAAAAGAAGAAGATAAGCAGTGTGGAGGGTTGTACCAGTCTCTGGTTCTCAGTAGGA